TCCTGCGACGAGTTGCCTCCAAAGTTTCATCTTCAGTTTCTTCGGGGCATGGAGTGCTCAGGACATACGCAACCTTCAAATTTGTGAGAAAGAAGTACATCTTCTTCTTCCAGCGACGGAAATCAACGCCTTCGAACTTTTTCAACTTGCCAAACTTGGTCGACATGTCGCTCAGAATTTCGCTCGCCATGTTCGTGACTAAATTATTGTATTCAATTATTGGGGATTTTATTGGGTTATCAACGAAAATGGCAGGATATAACTCTGTATCGTGATGAGCTCACTTTCCGAATACGATATTTTGACCCAATTCCTACCAAGGATTACACAAAATTCATATTGGGATAATACAAAGTTCGATCACGAATTCTGGTAGAAAATATCGAGAAAATGTGAACGTAAAGAATAAAATATGTATGAAGACTGTAATTTCTTGCAGGGATAAAAGACTGAATGTGTTTTTCTTGTTTTTAACTATATCAATAATTTCTCTACAAATGGGACCAACCCATCTATTTAAAGATTATAACAAACATTTTATTTAAATTGAACAAATACAAATGTTCAATTTTAATTTCAATTTCAAAATGAATGGGTGTGTTCTTTCAATTCAAATATTAATTTGAATTCAAAATGAATTGATATATTGATTCAATTCTAACAAAAGTTTGAATTCGTAATTTAAATATTATTAGACACATCAATTCCTAAATAAACACAATTTTTTGAAATTAGAATTCTAGGAAAATTCCAGAATAGTCCGTACCACTTAGTCATGTCCATGACTAAATTGGCTATTACATTATGTCTCATAAATTTAATTACAAGATTTTCAGACTTGTAAACGGCAGACTTAGTCATGCCCATGACTAAGGCCGTATCAACAATCTGTCCCAAAATTTGTGTTACTTGTCAAAATCATGTCGAAATTAGCTTCTTCGAGTGCGCACTCCACGCATCCCATCCCGAAGTTCACTTAATCCCAACATTCATTGGTCTCGAATAAATCCAATTACGCTAAAATTACCAATATCATTTGCCCGCACGTGACGTTCACACCACGTACGGTCATGTGCGGCCAAACGATATAAATTGCGACTTTTGCACACATGTGAGATATATTTTGTCAGGGAGATAAATATAGGATAAAAGTGATAATGGGGTATACATAGGGATATTTTTTGCAATTTTTTCCCTTAATTTTGTACTATATTTTGATATAATCATTAGTATTAAAAGATAAACACACAGAAAACAAATGTAAACTTTCAAAGTGAATGAAAATAGTATATTTTATATTATTTTACACGATTCTCGATACCACAAAAAAAAAAGAATTATTTCATCTAAAAATGTTGAGTGAAAAGTAGCCATAATTTTTCATACTTCGTAATAAAATTGCTTAAAACTAAAATTATTAAAGAAACGGTACCTTTAGTTGTGAAAGTAAGATAATTTTAATAGTTTAAAGAAACAATAACAATAATTTTTTTTCTAAAAAATAGTATTACTTTTTTTATTTTAAAAAGTACAAAATAAATATATGTAATATATAGTTTTTACTATTTACTTATCAATATTTTTAAAATATATATGAAAAATACAATTGATCAAAAATAAATAAATATACATATTCTAAATAAACATAGGTTTTGTTCACCCAAACTTATTTTTGAATTATGATTTTCCAAAAATAATAAATCCAATAAATAATACAAAATATTTTTTACAAAGTCAAAATGTCAAATAAAAATTCAAATATTTATTAAAAAAGTTAAAAAATCAAATATTCAATTTAAAATAATATATTTTATATTTTTGGCACAATTCTCATACCACACACCAAAAATCAATACATCTAAAAAACACTAAGGTTGTGTTCTTTTGTAAGTTTTACCACAAGTTTTTACTATTTAAATTCTTTTTTCCTCCAAATATATCACATCAAACAATTACTTTTGTTTTTTTATATTATACTATAAATTTCTTTACATTCAAAACATCACATCAACCTCTATTTATATCATATCAAGCAACTATTCAAATTCAATTTTTTACTATTTAAAAATCCAAAACCAAAAACTAAAATCTACAAAAAAAAAAACACACCGTAAGTGAACAAAACTTATATTGTTTAAAATTTTCGAATATTAGCTCCTTTATATTATAAGGTAGTTTGGAGGTGTGAAGATGGATTAACTATGAGGTCGTTGGTTTAGATTTTGTTTTGAAGACAAAATAGTAATTATATTTTCTTTGATTTATTTTGGCCCTTTAAACATAAATATTATTAAAAATGTATGAACGGAATAAAGATTTTATTACGAAATTGACAAAAGTTTATACTAGATTTAGTTAGGCTCTGCCCCAAACCAAAAGTAGAATACAAATCGACATAAAAACACACTCAAAATGCAACGAACACACAAAAATCTATCTTAATAACCCACGACAACCAAAAGGAGATCCCTACAGAGAATAAAATAAGGCGAACAAACTCCTACGATGTTGAACGAGTCCTTTGCAGCTCGAAACAACCAAACAGGGGAAAACCAAACGTGCTAAAGAGCTTCACAAGATTACATGAAGAAAGCAGCGCCGTGAACCGTCGCCGGAGAAGTGGTTGAGGAAGAGGATGAAAGAGGTTAGAGAGAGGTATTGTAGAGAGAGAAAGAGATTGTATCGAATGATAGCTGCCATATCTCACCATCCATATATATGTGTAGATTAAAAAAGATCAAGCGGTCAAGATTAAAACTCCAAATCAGACGGTCAACACAGCGTCTAAGAAAGACGTGGAACCTCAACGGGTTGCGAGCACGGTTCAGGAGCACGGGTCAGGCCAAGGGTCTCGGGTCACAGGCTGGATCATGGGTTTAGGCCTGGTTTTCATGAGCTGCAGTAACGAGTGTGTTTGTGTCTTATTAATGGGGTGAATCTACTGTATTATAAAATTAACAATAAATCAAAAGTAAAAAATAAAATTTAGAATAGGGATTATTGAGATAGCAATTATGGATGAGAAATTATGTGATATCTGACTTTGGTAAAAAATAGTTATACAGAGAACTCCCATTAAAAATAATAATAATAATCAAGAGTATAATATAATAAAAATTGACAAAATTAGAAAAAGAAAATATCTTTGGTATATTGTAAATTATAATTTTAAATTTTAATCACGTTGATTTTTTTATTTTTTTATTTTATGTTTTATCAATTTGGTCTCATTTAAATTAAAATTAATCAGTTTTAATCTCATTATAGCTACACGGACTAAAATCGATTGTCTTACATGATTTCTAATATGATAATGTTTTAGGTCATATTCACTTCTTTGTTTAAATTGTTTAATATATATTTTTTCCATCTCAATTCAAAAAATTATTTTTACTATTTTTTGTTTGTCCCACTAAATAATATTTATTGTTTATTTTAGTAAAATAATCATATATTAATATCAAAATATCAACATTTTCACTAAATTATAAATATATCATTATGTATATAATTAATTTAAATATAAAGTCAAAGAAAAAAATATCAAGATCTCTTACACAATACACTAATCAATAAAATATTATTTTTTCTTAATCCGATACAAAACCTCAAAAATATTATTTTTTTATAATTATTTAAAAATACTAAAAATAATTAAATTTTAATACTATACTTTTTTAATATATATTTTGATTATAAAAATACTTTAATTAATTATTATTGTTATTTCGCAATAATTTTTTAAAAATATTAAATCTTGATTATTTTTTAATCATATATAAAATTTAAAAGTAATCAAGATTTAATATTTTTAAAAAATTATATTAAAAAATAATCCCTCAATTAATATATTTTAGTAATGATATGATATATTTAACGTATTAATATTTAATTTAGGTAATAATAGTAAGCTTTAATATTATTTTATATTTTTTTATAATTAATAATATCGGTGACTTTAATATAAATTAAATATGAAGTATATTATTAAAATAAAAAATATATATTTAAATATTTTAAAAATTATATTACAATAGAAAATGTATGTCGCACGGTTACTATTTGCATAAAATAATCTTTTCTATAATATAAGTAAATAAAAAAATAAATTTATTTATTTATAATTGACACAAACTAATTTTATAAAAAATGTGAAATTTTAAATATAAATAAAATATTTATTTTTTAAGAGAGATGTATAAATAAAGGATTTTGAGCCGGTCCTATATGTGATATATGGTATTATATGTTATGTATTTAATTAAGTTAATTTATTTTTGTTAAGTATGTTTTGATTTAAAAGTTTTTATTAAAAATATAAAATATCAACTGTTATGTGTGTGTTTATGTGATCTATTTGAATTATATTAACAAGAGGTGTACGGCCAGAAGTAATACAATATACTAATTTGTTACTCCCTCCGTCCCGGATATCGTGTCTGCTACTCTGTAGATACGGTATTTTAGGAGGGGTGTAATTAGTAGATAATTAAGAATTCATTAGTGAAAATAATTATTTTATAATATAAATAATTATAAATTAAAATTAACATAACTAATTAGTTTAATTAAAATTAAAAAATTTAAAATGAGATTAAAGTGTGTAATCATTTTAAAAAAAAAAGAAAAAGAAAGTGACATGGGGACGTACAGGACATAGTATCTGGGACAGAGGGAGTATTACTTTGTGTGATGTTAGTTTATATGTTGTATTTGTATTATATTAATATATAATATGTTCTCCCACTATTAACTAAATTAATTAATTTTAATTTGGAAATTTAAATTAAATAAAAAAAACTAAAATTGATAATTATAATTTACAAGAACATTAAAAATGATCTTTTTCCCCTGCAAATAAAAATACAAAATACAAATAAAATGTATGACCCAGTGAGGTCAGCCCAATTAATATTGATGGGCCGTTGTTGGATGGAAATTGAATATTGGTATTGGTTGCACTGGTAACTGAAGTATTAAGTATCGTTCTGGAATCATCTGGAATATTGGAGACTCTCTGCTACTGCTACCAGCATAGTTCCGATCCGCCGATTTCCGATCATCGGAAGGGTAGGGGAAGGGAATTTCTTTTCGTTTTTTTACTTATATTTTGAAGAATCCGTTTCAGGTTCCAAATTCTGATTCCGAAGCAGATTGTGGAGATGATGCAGTTTTCGAAAGTTAATCTCAAAGCAATCGAGGAAGAAGATGAGGAGGAGGAGGAGGAGGAGGCCGGCGAAGAAGTCGAATCAGCGCCGCCTATGAAACCGGGCGATGAGAGAGAAATAAGCTCCAATGGTCTCAAGAAAAAGCTCATTAAAGATGGCCATGGTTGGGAGACCCCTCAGTTCGGCGATGAAGTTACAAGTACGATATTCAATGGCTTCTTACGATTTCTACTTTGCGTTTGTTCTACTTTTAGCTCTATTAACATCGTCTCAAATGAAAACCAATAAATAAGGATCAAAATGAACGTCTGCGGCTAAATTTTCATGCAAATGTAACTTATTTTGTGTGAAATTAAACGCTCTTCTCTGCCTGAAAAGTTTATACAACGAGATTCATTACGGTAGATAGCAATGTATTCGAAAATGTGTGTTTATTTTGGTTTAGAAGAATTTTGTATGTTTTGGGGGCTTTTTTTGGATTAAAATAGGTTTTAGATGTAATTTCAACAACAAAAAAAAAAAAAACGTTTATACAACTAGATTCATTACGCTAGAACAGGAGAAAAAATTGTTGTGCTGGGGATCTTACAGTGTAGAACAGGATCAAAAACACAAATAAACACAAAGTGCCATTCTGACTTATACCAATATGTATCTTTGGTTTTAACTTCGAAGTGAAAGCAGTTATGTTAGTTTTTGTCATCCATTCTTTTGAAGTGATAATATTTCTGTGTGTTTGTGTACTGAAGTGTAGTTCAGTACACGGGCAATTTGTTGGATGGAAGCACATTTTTATCAACAAGGACCAGCGATGGGCCCTTCACATTCAAGCTTGGACACGGTGGGTTTCTTTATATCTTCATTCTGTCAATTTCATTACTTCAGTTCTATTTAAAATTTAATTGTGCAATATCGTGGCAATGGAGTTGTAAAGCATGTTAATTAGTTATGTGATGGAAGATAGTGATGTGAGCCGAGTTATCTTTGAACAATCCGTGATAAGTTGCTATTTGTTTAAAAACTATGATTGTTTGGCAAGAAGAAAGTGATGGCTACTTCCCATTCAAATCCTTTATTGGGTAATCTTAGTTTTGGTGATATGGTTCAGGGTAATGCAATATCCATATGCCTTTCAGTTGCTGTAAATGCTTGTCTACTATACTGCTCTTACCATTTCTCTCGGTCAAGCTTCTTCTCATTTAGAAGGTTAAAGTATATGTTTTGTCTTGTGGGTTTTATAGGGGAAGTAGTTAATGGGTTGGATGATGGAATTGTAACAATGAAGAAAGGAGAGACGGCAATGTTTACTCTGCCTCCACATTTGGCATATGGAGTAGAAGCAAATGCCGTTGTGCCTCCAAATTCTACGGTTCAGTTTGAAGTAGAACTCTTGTCATGGATTACTGTAGTTGATGTTTGCAAGGATGGTGGAATTATTAAGAAAATTCTGAAACATGGAGAACCAATTGGCCCTCCCGGCGATCACGATGAAGTTTGTGGTATTGTTTACTTTATGATACTTCAAGTTAACAACAGTAGCAGTGCAATATTTTTTTTGTGAATCCATTTTTTTGATCCGATTGTATTTTGATGATGTATTAGTTAGGTATGAGGCATTGCTTGCTGATGGCACCATTATGGCAAAAACACGCGAAGATGGTGTGGAGTTTAATATTGAAGATGGTAAATTGTGGAATAGTTGTGCTTTGATTAATTATTAAGGAACTACTCTCGACAAAATCACACTTTTTTAATCTGCTCTCCTTCTTAGGGCACTTCTGTCCAGCATTAACCAAAGCAGTTAAGACGATGAGACGAGGGGAGCAGGTCAAATTAGTCGTTCAGCCAAAGTGTAGGTTCTCGCCACTTCTGCCTTTACGTGTTCCTAGGATATTGTTATCTATCATTTTTATGGTCTTGCGGGGGGACAGCTTGTACTTGTGTTAAGAGCTTCAGATAAATTTGAAATGATTGATTAAGAACAATTCCTATTTCTTTTACCACATTACAGTCACAATTTGTGCAGGAATATCTTTACAGATTTAGTTGCATTTCCGGTTTCACTATTTTTATCAATGCCGTCTTTAATTGATGTGATTATGTCTTGATGACTACAGATGTCTTTGATGAACCTGGTAAGGAGGCAGACGGTGAGCATCCTTCCATCCCACCTAAGTCTGTCCTATATATTACAGCAGAGCTTGTTTCGTTTAAGTCGGTTGTAGATATAACTGGTGATCTTAAAGTTAAAAAGAAAGTGTTAAAGGAGGGTGATGATACATTGACAGCAAATGAAGGTGCTACTGTTACAAGTAAGTCATCTAATACGATAAAGTCATTTTCATTCCCCAATAGATTTCTGTTTTAGAATAAGATTGCTTGCGGATGTGCATCATATAAAAATTAAGGTACCGTAATAGTTTACGCATTATAAGGATCCAAACCTACAATGTGAACTTCTTCCAAGCATTTACGTCATTTTTGTCCGCAGTTAGGTATAAAGGAATGTTAGAGGATGGGACTGTATTCGAGAGTAAGGGCTTTGATGGTTCGGAGCCACTGAAATTTCTCACTGGTGAAGGTCGGTATTTTGTGAAAATATATACTCTTAAGTTAAACTAAAATGTAGTTTGCTCGGTTAACCTGATATCTCCTTCTGTACTTTGCAGAGCAAATGATTGACGGAATGGATCGAGCAGCGTGCACCATGAAGAAAAATGAATTCGCACTGGTTACAATTTCCCCGGAGTATGGATTCGGAAGCGGTGAAGTAAAACGAGATCTCGCCGTGGTTCCCCCGTCGTCAACCATTCTGTATGAAGTTGAAATGTTGGACTTTGTCAGGGTAACCTTTTCAAGCAACATAACCTTAAATTAATCGTGCTTGATTGAAAGTTTGTATAATCGCACGATACTTATGGAAAAAGGAAAAAGCGCCGTGGGAAATGAGCAATACAGAGAGGATAGAGGCTGCTACACAGAAGAAAGAAGAAGGCAACCACCTCTTCAAAATCGAAAAATTCCAACGAGCTGCGGCAAAATATAACAAGGTAAGCAACATTCAATAACATGTATGATGATTTGTTAAGATGTATGACGATTTGTTTACCTGTTTCCTTTCAGGCAGCTGATTATGTAAGCGAATATGGATCCTTCACCGATGATGATGAGAAATTAGTTAGATCGTTGAGGATCTCTTGCTGGTTGAACGGCACAGCTTGTTGCTTAAAACTATGCGATTTTCAGGGAGCAATCAGTCTCTGTTCGCGGGTAAACTATTACAATATCATGCTCGGCTGTGTAATGAAAACTGGATTCCTGATTTTTTTGGAACCTTGGACAGATCCTCAATACTGAAACCTGCAACGTGAAGGCATTGTACAGGCGGGCTCGAGCTTATATTGAAGTTTCTGAGTTTCAACTTGCGGAAGTCGACATTAGAAAGACCTTAGAACTCGATCCTCACAACAGGTAATCGTTCATTCGGGTTTGTGTGGTGTTATGATATGTTATGTTATGCACATGGCTCACTCGATCGATATATCGGCAGGGACGCCAAGTTATTACAGCAGAAACTGAAACAGCTTCGAGCTGAGAGCAACAAAAGAGATGCAAATTTGTACAGAGCAATGTTCCCAAGTGTGTCCAGAGATGATTCTCCTGCTCCTAAGGTAATAATAAATACTATTTGAATTGACACATTTTTAATTTTTGTTTATCATACTTAACAAATATAAATTAATTCAATTAACTATTTAACATATAATATACTATAATATTATGCATCATGTAGAATTTACTCAAACTTCTTTAATTTTTATCTCTCTTAGAAAAATATATATTTTTATTACATTTAAAATTCCACATCTTTTATAAAATTATTTTATGCTAATAAAAATAAATAAACGTATTCTTTTATTTACTTATATTATAGAAAATTTTATTATCTCCAAAATGATATCTATATATTGTATATAATTTTTATTGCGATATAATTTTTAAATACATATTCTAAAAATTTTTAATTATATATATTAAATTTATTTTAAGACTATTGTTATTGTTAATCACATAAAAAATAGTAAGATAATATCGTAATTTATTATTATTAACTAATTAAATATTACTCTCTCCGTCCCAGATACCATGTTCACGTTGTCGTTTCTGTCCGTCCCACGTACCATGTTACTTTCCTTTTTTGAAAAATGATGAGACACACTTTAATCTCATTTTAAATTTTTTAATTTTTGTTTATTTTAATTAAACTAATTAGTTATTTTAATCTTAATTTATAATTATTTATATTATAGGATATTTATTTTCACTAATATATTTTTAATTATCTAGTAATTACACATCTCCTAATACCGTATCTACAGTGTAGCAGACACGGTACCTGGGATGGAGAGAGTATTATATTAAATATTGTATACCTAATGAAAGGGGGTCAACTGACCCGGACGGAGGAATACTTCCTTTTTTTAGTTAACAAAATCTATGCTTGTTTTTTTTACTTTCGATTTTTCTTTTTGCCCACAAAGATCATGCACTTTTTTATTTACAGCAACATCAAAAAAATTTTACATTATGTCCTTCAATCTTATATGCCTTTCCTTATATAAAATTTTTTATTACATTACTAATTATTTATTGTATTAGATGACAAAATCTAAAATACCACTGGGTCCAACGGGTTCAAAATTGTGTAGAATGATATTTTAATAAATAGAAGTAAAAGTAAGGTAAATTGGTAATTGGTGATTTTTTAGAATATATATAATAGTATTATTTTGACTAAAGCAAAATTGAAGAAATGCAATTTATATAGAATATTTATTTTATTGTGATGTTTACTGTACAGAGATTGAAAATTGTGGAGGATGCCAAAGAGGGATGACTCGAGCCGAGCCAAGCCAATTGCAGATGCCCTCATTCTGATCCAACCGTCCATCTCCATCTTGTAAGATTAATATCAATGGTCACTATGGCTTTGCATGATTTGGAAGTAGAGTGTTTATTTGTGTGGGACGGAAAAATTTTAAAATACTAGTATTTCTTAACTATTTTAACTTTTTTTTATAAATAAGCTTTGTAATTTTGCTTTCCATAATATCAACTTAAGAGTGAATTTGATCAAATGAGGACTCTTCAGTCTCATTTTGGAATTGTTTGGGTTCATTATTGTCAACAGATATATATATATATATATATTGAAATGAAGAAATATTTAAAATGTTTACAATAATGTGAATTTAAAAAATAAAATAAAGGTAATATAGGTCTATTGGTTTTCTTATTGAATTGCATTTCATTAATTTTGTGATCCACTCCTTCCTTTTGATTTGAAACATTATAATGATGTTTTTAGAACAAAATTTTGATTGTAACAACATTGGCTATATAGTCCAGAGGGTACGAACAAGAGCGTGAAAACAGTGAAGTGTGGTCAATCTTTATTTGCTACAATTTGAATTAAGATTAATTAATTTTAATTTGAATAAAACTAAAATTGATTAAAAAAATTTCAATAAACCAAAATTGATAATTATAATATCCGATAACACCAAAATAATATTATCTAATAAGAATCTAATTGAAACTTTTACATTATTGGATGTGAAAGAATCCAATGACATTACCTAAAAAAGAAGAAAAAAAATGAGAAATTTTTTAAAAATGGTTAATATTTTTTTACTAAATAACATATCAACATCATAACATAAGCTAACAATTTTACTTCAAAATCTTCCAATTGAAAACCCCTATAGACCCATAATGTTCAATATTTTTCTCAGCAACTATCTATCTATATAATAATCAGCAGGGCCCCACCTCACCCCACATAGAGAGAACATACATATAGCATATTTTGTATGTATAGGCTGAGGATCCCATCCATCACATATACTACTTCCTTCATCCCTCACCAAAATAAAAAAATTGATAAATTGTTAAAGAACGAAAAATTGATAAATTGTTAAAGAACGGTGGGAGTATTAGACTCTGCGTGATTATCAATTCCCTTCCAAATTCTTAACAAAATTAGTTCAAAACTTAGCATAAACAAACAAACAAATGCAAGGTAATTCACTGCCTGCCTAGATGAACCATAACACAATAGCAATACATATTAAAAGCGGACCGAAATCTGCCGCCGGAATCGCCAAATCCGGTATCACCCAAAACCTACTGTTCCCGAAACAGTATAAACAGCTGGAGGGTCCAACTAAATACAAATCTAAGCAGCCTGAACCAAAGGGCTGCCGCCATTTACATCACCAGGCAGCGACCGACTACTTTCTTAGAGCTCCGTAATTTCTTGTCACCTGCACATATCCAAAATCCATCCATCAGCATGTACTGGATTTGAGCTTATTTTGGAGAAACACAACTCGAGATAATTATTGCTTCATTAAAGCTATGAATAACACATTTAAGGATATCTATAATCGGCTAAAATGATGAAGCAGTGAATGAGGAAGTCAGCTATGTAAGTTGAAGCAAATGGAAACCCTTGGTTAGGAAAGAAATGTGTAATCAGAAATTTTTGGCCTAGTATAGCATAAGTTACCCGAGGTTGAGATTTGAGCCTCTTCGCCATGTCATTGTCATCGTCATCATCACTGTCGTCGTCATCTTTGTCTCTACTTGAGAGTAATTTATGAAGTGAAGATGAACAAGAGTTGTCTGATTTCCTTCCTCTTTTAGAGGAGGAAGCGCCTCTGCCTCTGCCTCTGCCTCTTCCCCGTGGAGCAGCCCTTTTTCTGCCCTTTCCCTGCAGGGTTTCAGCGTCGTCCTTCGACAAAAATCAACAGTTTTGTCTCAGTAAAATTTGAGGACAAGAAATTAATGGGAGCTACCAGAAGTGGAGGAATTACTGAAAGTAAAACTAAAAACATAAAAAAGAGTTTTGAATATAAAGAGAGGACGCACAGAGCTGTCGGCCACAGCATGAACTTGAAGTTTTTCTGTTTCATCATTTGAATCCGAGTCTACTTCATCGTCCTCATCAGCCCCGGTATGAAGCGAAGCTGATGCAGCAGCTGATGCAGATCTGCAGAAATGAGTGATTGATGAGCTAATTTACCATTGAGATGCAGCATAATTAGGCAGCACTATATAATTCTTTCAAAGTAGGTGCTCTGGGCGCAAATTATGCATTCTGCATGCCTAAAGAACGAGATACTCCTAGAAGAATCTACTGATAAGAATATGAAAGTTAAGGAGTATATTCAAAAATCATCGAACATTGTATCTAAAAGAAGACACACTGAATAGTTCTCACAAAAAGAAAGGCTGAATAGGCGCACTGGGAAAAAAAATAGATAAGCAAAACAAATGTGTAAAAAAGCAGCCAAAATGGTGCATTAACAACTAAGCCAACCTCTGTGAATGACGGAAACCCATGGCAGCATCTAGAGTTGTCTGTTTTAATGAATTGGAAGACCTGCCTCGCCCTCGTCCCCTTCCTCTTCCTGTGGTCTTAGCAGCTTCTGGTGAATCACGAGAAGACCTCAAAGACTGTGATAACCCTTGCCTGTTCTTTCTTGCAGATGTTGTACCAGAGACTACAACAGCATCTTCATCTTCACTGAAGGCATCGGCAGTTCCAATTACTTTGGTACTTCTCTTACGAGCATTCTGAAGAAACAATGTGCACCGATAATAAAGCTTGCAGCAGCTTAAAGAACTTCTGGGACTGTTGGGTTAAGATATGAACTACATACATCTAAGGGCAGGCCACCGAACTCTGGGCCATCTTTTGTTTTCAAGGTCCTTTCTTTGACCCGCTCCTGCATGCAATTGGAACTTATTTTTGTTACTCAAACATTTTTAGTAAATAAAATTCTTATGGTGACATTGAAGAGATTATTTTAAACAGAAGAAGTCTAATGTTTGCCTCTAAGCACACTCCAACTTTGAGAATAATGTCTTCCTCTTCGAACTTATGAACATCAGGATCCTGGGCAATTTTATTCTGTTGCAGAGTAGAATATCAAAATTATTGGAGCTGCTAAAACCCAAAATAAATAGCCAACCAAAATGAAACAGCATAAGAACGGGGGTCAGAGAATACACTCAAAATGACTTACACGAGTTTCTTCAAGGTTGTATTGCAGGCAAGAATAGAAGGCCATTTTATCATCCTTGTTGACAAAATTGTGTAACGCTACATCCAAATCATTGACTGGGAGCACTTCCATCTTCTGTAAAATCAAAGTATGACATGCCGCATCATCACTAGAATAGAAAAAAGGTCCATAACACTAGACTATTTACATTTTCTTCATTCATGGAAGATTATTTTCTCACTGTTTGTGATTTTGTAAATTATCTTAGTAAAAAATGCAGAGATAAGTTGGTCAAGAGGATGACCATCTACTCATGAAAGAGAACTGGAATATAGTTTTGACATTTTGTAAAAAGGGATGTTGAGATGGTTATTAGAGATGATGATACAAAATGGAAAGATAAGAAGGCCTTCTGCGAAAGAAGTAACACTTCCCGAATCATGGAACCCAAACATGGGTAATCAAACTGTTCAGGAAATAAATGAGATGAACTATACCAGATTACTTTCAGCAACTAAAGCTTCAATGTTTTGCTGATTCAGCTCTTCTGGTCGAAGTCGTTCAGATTCATCAATTTTACCCACTGACAAACAATCAGGAGTTATATCATCAAATATTAGTTATATAGAAGACAAATATGCCACATTATTGTAAATGGGCCAATATTAGTGAAAAGGTGAGATAGGGCTTCTAACTGTGATGTATGAACAATTACTTCATATTACACATCGAAGTTGTAAAGATGGCAATCAGAGGACAGCCTCAAAAACCCTCCTTTAAATAAATTGAAGTACTGATCTGCTTTAGCTGAGGGTCTGAGGCTGATTACAATAAAAACCTGATAAGAGATCACTTGAAGAAATTGATTCGGAAAAGTTATCCGAGGGATTTTTACCATATTTTCCACTATGAGGGGATTCTACAAGATATATATACCCAGTACAATCACCTAAGAGCAGTTGGATGAATGTCTTCTATTTATACACATGGAAAAATAACATGCATCCATAGTCCAAAAAAATGCATATATACCTCCACTTTGACCTTTTCTAGAAGCTTTAGAAAATATAAGAATATCCTGAGGGTTTGCAACCTATTTCACGGAAGAGATAATATTTGTCAGCCTCAAAGTTTCTTTTGTTTCTAAACAAGGATGTTGTGGATCAAATAAAGAATTCTATACCTTCCCCACATATTTCTGGCCAAACCTTTGTGGATTGATTGTCATAAACCCTGAATAATCCACCTATATAATTAAGCATTAAAGAGTAAAGTATCATGAAAGATTAACCACACTACAACAAAAATGGAAAATACAAAAAAAAAAAACATCAAATAGAACCACCACCACCACCACCACCAACCCCACAAATGTAGAAGATATAACCTTGACTCGAACCAAGGGAAGCTTGAGCGCTGATTTCTTTATAGCATTTCGATTAGCATTGTCTACCAAATTTGTAACCTATAACAATGCAGCAAGCAAAGAAAATAAAGCAGAGAGTATCCAAATGAACTTATATAAGAAAATTAAATCACAAAAATGTATAAATAAAAACAAATAAGAAGTGAGAAAAAAGACATGGTAGCCTTACCACTTTGTCCAAATGTTCAAGAATGGAATTTTGATCGTTTGGATCTATACCAGGTTCATCCTTCAGCACTACCTGTACATAATTATGTCAGTTTCAAAATGCTATTGCTAAAGTTTTAACCGTATTAGAGAGGAATAAATCTACCTCTGCATACTCAAAAGGTCGCACTGAATTGAGAGGTATTTTTGTTGGCCGGTACTGATTGCCCTGATGTACATATCAATTTGACAGATACAGACTAATAAATAATAAAAAAGCAGAAAATAAAAGGACACAAGAATGATTGATGAGAAGTAGGGTAATAATCATAACCTTAATCTCTAAAAGCAGAACATGTTTTGGCTTTGATTCACCATCAATCAGTGATGTTGCAACAGATGAACCTGGCTGTGTAATGTGAAAACCCATGCCTGGAACTTCCTGTTTACAAAACATGTTACAATCACGCACTAAACAAATTAGAAAACCAACAAAGAATGCCAAATGTTACAAACCTGAGGATCAACAAGGCACTCGTGCTCATGCCCCCATACAATGAAGTCCAAAAATCGAGGTAGAAAGTGCTCATTTATTGCATTTTTAGGATTTGTCTTCACTCTTAAAACAAAAACATAGGTAGTCTTACTATCATGTCCCAAGACAACTAATGTACACCTCTGCCACCATAAACAGCAAGAATATTGATGCTAACCTGTTCTGATGAAGTACAAGCATATTGAACCAGTCAGAGACTTGACAACCCTCCTGGGCTTCAGGGCGCATCCATTGCACGGCATGTGGGGTCTACTCATAAAAATTAATACTAATGAGAGAAAATGTTAAGGAAACTCTGAGAAAAGGCGAGAATCAGACACCTATACCTGGAACATTCTATTTAGGCGTTCATCTCTGATATTTCCAAGGCCATAAAGAGCAACAGATGTTGATCCCTGTTGTGCATAAAATGGATCTCAAAGGATTGTCGTATTTATTCTTTAACTGGATCCAATTTCACAACATATGAGTTACAGTAGAACTGTTACCTTTCTTATAAGAATAGGGTATAGAGTGATCTGTCCAACCCCAGAACCCTCGAGAACCATCTTTCCGAAATAGTTGACAAGATTGCATGCTGAAAGGATATCAACAGCAGAAAGGTTGTCCTAAAGCAATAAGAAACAAAAACAACCTGTAAAATATGCATGGCAGACAAAGAAAGCAAGAAATAAAATAATGTCAAAGTGTCAAACAGAGAATCACAGGTATGTAAAACATCTATATCCTATACACACAAGATAAAGTGTGGCAATACCCAGTTCAGTTCATAAAACCATTGAAAGGTCAAGATGATAACAAGAAAATCACAAGAATTTTATTGGCAATGTTAAATGCATCCATAAAAATTTTCAGTTGCACTGACAAGAAGGTTCTGAAATCAGATAAGTGCTATGTTGGGAGGTAATTCAAGCCCTGAACAAAAGAGAGTAAACTGGCAACACAATGACTACAATGCCAAACACTACAAGCACCCCAATTACCATAGCGACCATACCACTCCAGCAGGATCGTCATGATTTCCATGAATGCTGAAAATCGGCAATCCAACATTGAAGTGGGGATCTTCATAGTTAACATGTCCAAAGCTGAATAAAGACATAAACCCTAGATCAAAATCACATCAGAAAACATAAGGAATACAATGCTAGAAGATCTAACATGAATTTCAGATTGAACACAATTGGAGTACATATTGCAGCACAACAACGAAAATTCAAATTCAGAAAATTAGAAAATTTATTTTGTAAATTTTCAGTTAGTAAAATCTCACACTAAAAAGATAAAATCAAAGATGTAAGCTTCATTTAGAGAACATATTGAGCTCTGCATAGATGATTACGAGTTTGCAAAGTTCACTGTCTGGTCACTGACGACTTGGAAATTAACTGGCCTATCACTGAGACAGTGCCGACGGATGATTTCAATGGCTTTGACTAAGGTTGACCTTGAAGGCTTATTTTCATGAAAAAGATCTCCACCAAGAAGAATGAAATCCACCTAACATTCAGAAATAAATAATAGCTAAGATAAAATAATAAAGTAAGTAACCAACAAATCACAAGTACAACAATTCTTCATAAATGTAGAAGCCAAGAGCTCGTGATACAGTAACAAACACAAAATTAGACATTGAATAGTACAATATATAAATAGAGAATGAACCGCTCGCACAAACATAATCAGTTAAAAGTAATCCAAACCCTTCCATGCTTCCAATGTAAATAACTATCATCGAAACAGATGCATGTGAAGAAGCTAAGAAAAAGACTGGACTCCATACCTGCTTTTTCTCAGCAATTGAGCAAATCTCTTCAAATGCCTGAAATGAATCATGTCTTCGAATTTCATCTTTCTCCATATATCCAAGATGGCAATCCGTGGCAACTAGTATTCTTAGCACGTTAGTTGTATCTTCACTGAAAATTTCAGTTCATAAAGACAAACAAGAAAGAACACAGTTGATCACATGTAACAACTCAGATTTAAACCAAGTTCCCCAAAGATAACTTTACAGCCCATACGAAAACTAGCAGATATAAACATAAAAAAACTGCCTATAAAAACCAAAGCATGAAAGTATACTTCTCACGCACCTAGAGGAGCCAGCCATTTCTTATTAATGATAGTTGCCCCTTGTCTCTGCAAAAATAACTTGAAAATAATATAAGCAAATCGTACCACTAGTTCAATAATAAAACTAATTGCATCTTTCGCGACAAAAAATTGCTGAAATTGTTGATAAACTAATCAAATATCGATAGTTTTTCGAATAACAGCAAAGCAAAACAAAGCAAAACCCTAACCCCTATCGCTTTCCAAAAACAACAGATTAACAAAATGAACGGAATTTAACAGTAGGAAGGTCATCATTTACATGAAAAGAAACGAAGAATAAATGGAAAATCAAATCGGAACAGCCGGCGGAGGCGTTGAGTACGGTGCCTGTCTGCGTAGGAGCGTCGCGTTGCAGACGACGCTAGTGGTCGTGGCGGGGATTTCCTTTTAAATAACTCGAAGTTCATCGCTTGTCCCAAAAGAATAATCCATCAGTCCAATGAAATTAGTCCAACTTTTTTTAGCATACAATTTTAAAAAATATTGTGTTAAAGTAGTTAATTTGTTTGATGAATATAATAAAATTAAAATATTTTTTATTTTATTTTTAAATATTGAATTTTTTATTTATTAATATTATTTAAAAATAATAATAATTATTATTGTATTTATTGTAAATTAATACATGCATTTACATAAAAAAATAATAATAATAATTTTAATAACTTAAATGTAATTTATATAATAAAAAAAGTTATATAAACAATACATAAAATTTTTTTAATTTGGTTGTTGTTAGATATAGTTCGTTATGACATACCAAATTTAATATCACATCGCGTACGTACGGTACAAAATTTTTTGTATGATATTTTACTGTGCCGTACAAATATTTTGGTATGCCGAATTTTTCAAAATTTCGATACAATATGAATTTTTTTGTATGATAATGCATACAATAAGATATTTTCAGTATATATAGATAATTAAAAAAATTGGTATTTTTGTATATACTGGTTATTTGATACAATATTAATATCTTTTTTTTAATAAATTAAAAAATTTGGTATGATATACAATATATTTGGATATTTTCGGTATATTATCTCAAATCATCTCTAACTGAATTGTATAACATGGTATTAAAATATAATACTTTACGTCAAATACCGAAATTAAAAATAAGTTTATAAATTTGCTTTATAAATAAGTTTTATCGTTTTATTTTTTTTAGAAAAAGAAAAAAAATAAATATCAAATCTCATTTTTAATTAATTTTAAATTTTCATATTAAATTAAAATTTAATTTTAAATGAATATTTATTTATATTAAATTAAATATTTATTATTTTTATTATTTAAAATTTCGGTTCAAACTTCTAAATTTACAATTAACAAATAATAAAACTAAAAGATATTAGTAAGTTAATAAAATATAGTTAAGTTTTTTTAATTAAAAGTATTAGTTACTAATTATTACTATAATATGAAAGTGGACTAATTTCGTGGGACGGAGAGAATACTAAAAAATAATTATACGGGCAACTGATATAAATTTTCACCTATATTTTAATCTTAAATTCAATTTCTACACACATTTTACACCACATTGCATTCCTTATTATTTTTTTTAAAAGTCTTAACATTAATTCCCTAGCTAACTCTCAATTTCAATATTGTCCTTCTTATTTTCTTCAAATTCTATTTTATCAATTATGATATTTCTCTCTTTATTAGATTATTTTTGTGCGAAAAATTGCTTTTATCCAGTCTGCGAGTTCAGTCACGCATGTTCGAATAATCTGTGATGGAGAAGAGACTGGTAATGAAAATTTTCGATTCTAAATTAAAAAGACACTGGTAAGGGAAAATTTTGATTCTAAATGTTCTCTTACTCTGATTATTTTGTTGGTCGATAACAATAGTTTTGTTAAGGTTCACGACTAATTTCGGTAAATATTTCACTATTGTTTTGATAATTGTTGTCCTATTCGAGATCATAATTGCAATAGTTGCTAACTAGGTTTCAGTATTTCACTAAAGTGTGTGTATACATTTGTTGGGACATTTTTTTGGTGTGATATACTTATATTTAATAATTTTATACCCTTGTTGTTTGATATACATGCTATATTTGTTTAAAAATACTCCGGTTTTGTTAGTATATAGTATGATTACTCATTTATGAACTTTGATATTTATTTTATATATTTGTATATTGGGTAATGTTAAAGCATGTTGCTATACAACGGTGTATGCCAAAAATAATAAAAATTGTAAATAATTTTGCTAGAGACTAAGGTTTGTTCATCACGATGATGGTGAGAATTGAAAATAATTTTTTTTGGTTAAATATTCGGGATTTCTAAAGTACATTCCCGTCGTTTCTCCGGAATCCACTTGTCTTTGACACATAATGAACAACTTTTGCACTCAGGTATCCATAGAATATGTATCATGTATAACAAGATAATTATATTTCGTATAGGTAATACGGAGATATCTGATGCACAACAAAATATGATAGACGTCCGTTTTCAACAAAACCAGATATGCCCCCTTACGGAAGAACCTTGAGCATCATATAAAGCCGGTTGTGGAGAGCATGTCATTTGCCCAAAACTTCATTGTACAATCGCAGCCCGATTGTTGGACGAATTCTTTATTCTAAAGGATTCGTTGGAGGATAATAAATAACAATATAACTAAGTTGTGGAATAGTTAGGTGTGCTCCCAAGGTCATTACATTTGTCCTACCAAGATGGCCCAAACAAGGACGGTTTAAATCAAAACAGATGAAACAATCTAAAAAAATATGATCTTTGTGTTCGTTTAGGATACAACTGACAAAGTTGTAAAGAGACTCCATTGTATGTATTTCTCATTTGTCGTCTTGTAGCTGAAATTTCATTTTATTTTTTTAAGATTGTAAATGTAAATCTGTGTACGAGACCACTATCGAATGATTTGGAAATTAGATTATACTGTTTTGTATATTATTAGGTGTACACAATTATTATGTTGGGTACTAATCATTCCAAACCAATTATTCTAAAGTAGAAAACAAAGGTATGTGAATTCACAACAAAAATACATTACAAGTTATTGTAGTTGCGTAAAATATTACTATGAATAATAGATATTAACAACAATATTACATTGCACGTGATATTTTCTTATTAAATTCTACATAATACTTGAAGTTTTTTATGTCCCCTAAGTACTCGTTATAATATAACATGGCCAATTTTTTACCACATCGTTTATATAAAATCACATTAACATAAATTATATTTATCTATACGGGTATTTAATTCTTGCGACGGAGTTATTACAATGAAAATATAAATATGTTGTGATGTCCGGAGAGTATATTTTATTAATACCAAAGGTATACATATTCAAGTAAAAAAGTACGACTTTGTGTATGAAAATATTCATATTTTTATATATGTATAATTACAGTAAACATAGGTATTTAAGTATCTATCTATAATTTATCATTAATTGGTGCTATATCAAATAACTATGAGTTAATAACATCACATCCATTTTATTAGAAGTTAGCGTGCATCAACAAATATTTCTAAAACGATTTATGAGATCACATATCCATGTATTGAAGGGTGAGTGAGAAAGTCACTTAGGATAGTCATGTATAACATATTACGTGGTGAACCGTAATAATAAATATTTTGGAGTTGATGCATAATTGATGACGTATGATGTTCTTTACCTTGTAATTGTCCATCCAAATATTTTTTTAGAGTAAAAAAAAAAAAATACCCCAACAATAATAAATGTGTTAGAAGGTATAAAAAATGAATATTACACTCATGGAACATATTGTACCTTCCCACAATGTACTAAATAATTCGTCATTGATGTATACATGTGAACCATGGTCATTAATGTGTACATGAAACGTATCCATCAGTGTTTTCAGAATAATTTTGTGAGTATATATCTTCTCAATATACGTTAAATGTGTATAAAGTTACTTATAAAGTCTATTCCCCAATACAAGTATATTCAATCAATTCAGAAGTATGTAACTTAGTGCATGAAGGAACAATATCATCATTGCGGGTATATGACTTCCATTAGAGACTTGTTGACACCCAACCATGAAATTTTGTAAACTGAAATATATTAATTAGTTATGTGCATACGTATTTTGTTTCAGTATATTTTCTCACGTTATGTATACCAATACATGGTTCCATAACAATAGTCCGGCAGTCGATCTGTTAGAGTGTTTGACATTTTCGAAGCTATACATATATAGAACACAAGCTAGTACATGTTGGATATTGAAATTTGTAAGAAAATTGCATGTTTTCTTGGTCTCATCTTAAAAAATGCATCATCTATAACAATATTAATTAAAGTATCGTACAACTTCCAGTTCGAAAGATCGGCAACAACGGTATGTTCGACTCCTATTTCACCATAATCAAGCTGCAGTTTCATAAACTATTAATCGAAACACAAATTATATACCCAATTATATAATATTATATATAGAATATTTTCAGCTAGAATGAAGATATATGCAGAAATGATAGACGTACTTTGATGAACAAAAATAATTAATTCTACAGAATAACGAAGGTACATACAAAGAAGAATAAAGTTACGTACAAAAATTTCACTAACCCTGATTGTTTGTTTATTTTTCTTACTCTTTTTTTCCCCTACCTTCATGTTCCTCATCACATCTCAATTATTTTACTACAAATATAAATTTACAAAAATACAAATGAAGATACTTCTATAAACAACAAGATCATTTACAATTTCAAACATGATAGTTAAAAATCGCATGTATTAAATATTTATATTATATGAGATATTTGATTTATTTTGATTGGATTCTACTTAATTTACATGCGTATTATTTATTTGTACTATGTAATGACAAATATCAAATTTGGCATAATTGACAGAAAAAGTGAAGAAAAAATTCAGATTTGCACCCCTTAGTTAGTCATGATCATGAGTAACTCAGCCCTCTTGACATGAGAAATTAATTAAAGGCTCAAAAACCCAATTGTTACAAAATTAAGATAAATATAAAATAAAGAACAAGAGGGGAGATGCCACATTCATGTATCCAGGGAGAAAACACAGTGCAAAACAATCCCTTGGGGTGCGTTCATTTGTAGGATTTCTGCCGGATTTTACTGTATGTTATACTGTTCAAATCCTTCACCTACAAATCCTAAAAACCCTACCCTATGAATCCTATTCTCTTACTATTTGGTCCCTACACTTCCACACCTTATTTTTTAGTTCTTTTTTTAAAAAATATTAGTCAATGCAAATCCGGCCAAATAACAACAAAATGACAGCGACCGTGAGGGCGACCACCGATGGAAGAACCACAAAATAAAAAAAAAAAAAAATTAATTAAAAAAAAAAAGAGAAAACAAAAATAATGAAAATACTGAAGCATAGGAAAAATAAAAAAATAGCCCCAACTCCTCAAAATCAAAAGAAGGGCTACTCAATCCGCTCACAAGAAAAAAAAAATAAGAAAAAGAAAAGCTCACCGGATGTTTCAGTAGACGGCGGCGGACTTCGTCTCTGGGAGGAAGGTAGCGGCACAAGGTTGAAGAAGGAAGGGGAGGAGAAAGAAGAAAAATAAAAGAAGAGAGGGAAGAAAAACACCAGGAAGAATTTGAAGAAGGAAGATGGAGTTGGAGTGGTGGGGTTGGGGCGGTGGTGGAGTGTAGTAGCACGTTAGGGTTGTTTTTTATATATGTATATATGTATGTCAAATCAAATCATATTTTTATTTATTCATCATATTTTTTAATAATATTAAAATATTTAAACTATCATATCAATATATTATTTTTTTAATTAAACAATAATTTTTTCAAATATAATCATTACAAAATTCAAACCCTCAACCAAACACAAATACAAAATTCTAACTTCAAAATCCTTAGAAAATTCAAATTCAAAATCCAAACCCCCAAACAAAATACACCCCAAGAAGATTTCGAATTCTTCTCATCAATCCGATCTATGTAAGGCGATGTTTATCTTTGTTTTCTTTGTTTTTTCTTTTATGATTAACGAATGGTTTACTTTTATAGTTTAGGAGTGAAAGAAATAACTTGGTATGAATGTTTAAGATTAGACTATATTTTGATTTATATTATTTATTGGTTCCTAAGTATTTATGTGATTTTTTATGTTAATGTTTAATAATCTTTTATTTGGTTGGGTATTGTGGCCAGGTATTTCAGTTAGATTAAAGAATTGCTAAACTAAATTAGACGTCCGTAATTGCGTTTTAATTTGGTTCAAGTAGCAACTAGTGACAAACACCATTATGCAATCACAAAATCAATTTTAAACAGTTCCGCATAGATAATTATTAAATTGAATTAGACTCTTCTATTTTGCAAGACGGTTAGGTTAGTAAATTCTTTGTGACGTCACTAGGGTTCTAGTCTAATTAATGAAGCAGTTGACGGGCGTACCTAGACTGTCGAGAAATTAAGGAAGAGTTAGTTATTAGGTGCGTGTCGGTAACCATAATTAATTTATTTAGGAACTAATGAAATTAAATATTTATCGGTGATCAAATCCACTGTCCAAGTTGTCAATTTCATTCATAGACTGGAGCTTATTTTTATTTAGTTTATCCTTTAGCCGTAGTTTTTTAGTTTGTTATTTTATTTTTATTTTCAACTTCCAAATATCTCCCATTTTATTATATCTATATATTAAACAACCGAAAATAAAATATTTTCCCTGAGAAGACGACTCTACGTTAGCTATACTACATTATTCTTTATCGTAGAAGTAAGTTTATTTTATTTAAATTTTACAGCGTGTGACGAACGTCTGTCAAATTTTGGCACCGTTGCGGGGAACTTTAATAGGTTAATTTATCTTTGGTTGTTATCTATTATTTAAAAAATTTGACTTTTTCTGATTTATGTCAAGATCTGATCACACAAGAATCTTGAGTTTTGGCCCCGAAATTGAGAAGATTACGCGTCGATTGAGAAAAGAAACTAGGGAGCGTCGCCAAAAAGATTTAGCTTCAGAATCATCTAGCGATTTTAGTTCTGACGAGATCGATCTAGAAGAAGAGATTGATCAAACTACACTAAGGGAGCTGGCAGCTTCTAACTTGACCCAACAACATGTTTTCATCACATACCCGACGGTAGACGGTAACAATGCCTTTGAATTAAAATCAGGACTAATACACTTGTTGCTTTCTTTTCATGAGTTGTCAGGAGAAGAGCCACATAAGCATCTTCAAGAATTTAATGTCGTCTGCACAAGTATGAAGCCACTAGGAGTAAAAAAAGATCAAATCAAGATTCGTGTTTTTCCCTTCTCATTGAAAGACGCAGCAAAAGATTGGTTATTCAATCTACCTGCCGGAAGTGTCACTACATGGACTGACATGAAGATAAAGTTTTTCGAGAAGTACTTTCTCGTCTCACGAGCTGCGATAACGAGGAAAGAGAGATGCAGAATCACACAACATACATGGGAGTCTTTATTTGAATATTGAGACCATTTTCATACTTTACTTATTAGTTGTCCCCATCATCAAATCCCCGTACAATTACTGATTCAATATTTCTATGAAGGTTTGATTTCCATCGACATGAGAATCATAGACGCGGAAAGTGGAAGAGCCTTGATGAACAAAACATCTAGAAAGGCATGGGATTTACTTCATGATATAGCAATGAATTCACAACATTTTGGACCAAAGAGAAGTTGTAGCAGTTAAAGACACAAGCGAGGTGAGTTCTATACAACAACAATTGACTGAACTGACTTCATTTGTTCGAAAATTTGTTGCAGGGAAGACACAATTTCAGGCCTGTGGGATCTGCACAAGTCAAGAACATCCAACTGATACTTGTCCCATATTGAGTCAAGAAATAGATGTCAATGCTACAGGATTTGTCCCTAAAGCATACGATCTCCACTCGAACACCTACAATTCAGGATGGAGAGATCACTCAAATTTGAAATATGGGAATCAACAAGCTAACTTTGGAGATCATTCGAGAGGATTCTTAGCATCTAACTATCCTCCACAACCTCTTCAAGCGGTTCCGAGTAATTCCTTAGAGGATATGATGAAAATATGACGTCTAACATGTTGCAATTTCAACAGGAAATTCGGAATAACATAAGGAGCTTGGAAGAACAAGTAAGTCAAATAGTGAATGAGATGTGCGAGATTATGTCGAGAGAAAAAGGTAGATTGCCCTCACAACCCGACGCCAATTCGAGGATGTGAGTTCAATTGTTATACAAAATGATGAAGATTCAGAAGTATCAAAAACTGAAGCTCCAAATGACAAGAATGAGGATGACATTGAGAACGAAGTAGAGCAAGCCGCCAATGAAACATCAGACAAGGTAACTTCTGAAACACCTACTCATCTTAAAACTAACGTTGCACCGTTACCTTGCAGGTTGGTGAAACCAAAGAAGGATGACAAAAATAAGAAGATGATGAAGATGTTTCGAAAGATGAAATTGAACATACCCCTGCTGGATGTGATCAAGCAAGTGCCAAAGTATGCAAAATTTCTGAAGGATCTTTATGCTAACAAGAAGAGACTACGAGAAGATGAATGCATTATTGCTGGCGAGAGCGTATATGTCATTTTACAACGTAGGCTTCCTCCTAAATGTGGAGATCTAAGTATGTTCTCGGTTCCTTGTAAAATAGGTAAGTTGGAGATTAAACGAGCAATGTTAGATTTAGGAGCCGCAATTAATGTGATGCCTAAATCCATTTATAAGTCTTTGAATATTGGGTTGTTAAAGAAAACTGAAATTATTATACAATTAGCTGATATGACAAATGTTTACCCTGAAGAAATTATTGAAGATGTCCTAGTACAAGTTAACAAATTAATTTTTCTGGTTGATTTTTATGTGCTCGATATGGATGATGATAATTCTCCAAATCCTGCACCGATTTTACTAGGAAGACCATTTATGTGCACCGCACAAACTAAAATTGATGTGAAACATAGTATACTTTCTATGAAATTTGATGGTGAATGAGTGAAATTTAATATTTTCCTATGAAATGTCTTGAAAAATCTAACATCTTGAGCAGTGTGAATGTTATTGACAAAAATATGTAGGGAATCCTCGAACCGAATGATAAATCTATTCTGGACATAAAATCGAAGCCACCGTCGAATCAGTTAGAGTCTATTCACTTAAATGATAATATAAATCTTGCAGAGAAATTTTTGTGAGTAATCATCATTTTAAACTTGATAGTAAAAGACAAAAACTGAAGTAGGTAAGACGGTTCAGATACCTACTCAATGGCTAAGATGGAAACTACGTCTTGCCAAAGACATTAAAGAAATATGTTTCTTAGAAAACAACCAAAATTTTCTAGTTTTATCTCTTTTGTTTTCTTTAATTTTTTGTTTTATTTTTAATCATCGGCTATATTTGATTTGGATTATTTTTTTTCCCTTCTTCAGAGAAATCTCTTGGAGAATTTTGGTTTTGTTTTTTTAAAGAAAAATATAGATCATAACATGCCATTTCCCAACCATCATCCAATTTTCAGAACGAAAGATATGTTTAGTCACGGGCATGATTAATCACTACCTACCTGTCACACTGTATGCCTGCCTATTTCTTTAACCCCAATTCTAATATTAACCTTAAATTAAATCCTAAACCATTCAGACCCAAACCCGAACCGCCTCTCTGTCTTCTTCTTCTTCTTCTCGCGTTCAACCGCACAACAGACTGCGGACAGCAGCGATGCGATGACAGCTGCCGCGTCCGCCCTCTGTCCAGACGCCGAACCGAACGACTGCATCCAGCCGCCACCCAGACCTCCGACTTCCTCCTGTGCGTAGCACCTACGACCAGCGACGCCCACACTGACACCCTCTCTTCTTCCGCGCACCTCCACAGCCGACCACCACGCTGTTGCTTCTACCTCAACTGACCGTCCGCGCGAAGCATTAGTCCACCTCCGCGCCGCAGTCCCCCTCCCCCCCCCCCGGACGATCCCAAATTTTCACCTCCTTTGGTATTGAGTAATGTCCTTATGTCCCTTGTTTCGAATGCTTTCAATTTTTATTGTTGGGATAGATTGGCTTGGATTATTGATATTGAGATTGGTATTTGGGACTACAGCTTGAAATCTAATTTGCTGAACTTCTGTGTCTAGAAACTTTTGCGGATTTGTGGTGCAGTGGTACTGATAAGTAATAGGGGCCTTTGATTTGTGACGTATGTTCGATTTTGGAATATTCTACCTCGACTCTGTTGTTTTTGTGTCCAGGATTGGATGCGAACTCACTGTATTGCAGTTAAAGATTGAAGGTGGTTTATCGCATGACGCCCTTCATTTTGTCATATTTTATAGTTAATTTTTATTTAATTACTTAATTATTTATATCAAAATTTGGTATTATTTTTATTAATATATTTTAATAATTATATTCATTTCATTTTGTGTGCAAAATATTAATTTATTAATTTTTAGGTGTAATTTATAATTATTTTGGTGTATAAATTAAATAAATTGATGTGTTTTTTGAATTATATTTTTAGGAATTAGTTATATGCTATTGTAGTCTTACATTTTGTCTAAATTAATTTCATTTAATAAGTATTATTTATTTAAATAAATATTTCTAAGGTGTTTACTATTTATACCAATAAAATAATGCTTGAAAACTGGTTTGGAAGTCAAAATTGGCTTTAAAAAACAAAAAATTGGCTTCAGGAGCGAAAAACAGTCACCGACGCGAAGTCAACAGTTAACGCAAAAAAGTCAACCTGCGAAAAGTCAAAATCAAACGCTACACGGAATTCAAGCGGCGGCTGCAAAAAAGTGAGAGAGCGCGGAATCTGAATAGCGGCCGCTGCGGAAAGTGAACGGCGGCTGCACAAAAGTGAGCGACGGCAAAATCTGAGCGGCGGTTGCACAAAAGTAAGCCGCGCGGAAAGTGATGGCAGCTGCACGGAAATTTGAGCGAAGCGGAATTCTATGTCCATTAATCCGTGAATGGCGGCTGTATTTATGAGCGCAGAAGGCCATGAATGGAAGTGAGCGAAGCGACAGCTGACACGAAATCTAAGCGACGGCTACACGGGAAGTGAGCGGCGGTTGCATTAATTCTCGCTGCAATTATTGTCTGCATTTACTGCTCTGCACCCCCAGTTCTTGCATTTATTCCTGCACCCTCTCAGCTCTCATATTTAATTCTTGCATCATCACTTGGCCAATTTTTGGCTATTTTGTGTAACCTTCTAGAAAATAGGTAGTTACAGGGATGGAGAAATTTACCGAACATACCGAAATACCGACTCATCGTACCGTATCGTGTCGAAAATACCGAAAATTTTGGTATACCAAAAATTTCGGTACGGTATGGATATCGTACCGAAAACTTCGGTACGATATCGGTATGAATTTTCGGAAAATTTGGTATTTTAGTATGATACCATACCGATATTATTTTTATTAAATAATTTAATTATTAATATTTTTTTAAATCATAACAAAAAATATGTAAACTATTGAAAATTTATTGATTTTTTCATAATATTTTTGTGGTGGAGAATAGTGATATTTATTAATTTTTAAAATTATTTTGAAATCTAAAATTATATTTTCGGTATATATCGGTATCTACCGAAATCAAAATTTCCGGTATAAGCGGTATATACCGGTATCGTACCGAAATTAAAATTTTTGGTATAAACGGTATATACCGGTACCGTACCGAAAATTTCGGTATACCGAAATTTGGTATATTGAAACTTTCGGTACAGTACCGGTATGTATTTTCGTCATACCGAAAAGTTCGGTATAGTATCAGTATTGACCGGTATTTTCGGTACGGTACGGTATGTCATCCCTAGGTAGTTATTAGTAGTTATATTAGTAGCTATTTTTAGAGGTAGTTAGTAACTAGTTTTAAAGTTAGTTATTTATGGTTATTTTTAGAGAGAGTTAGTAGCTATTTTTAGAGGCAGTTATTTATGGACGGTTGTATCCGCGAAGCTTCTAGAAGCTTTTCCTCCTATAAATATCCCCTCTAAAACATACATATATATATACACCACATACACCATATATATGATAATATACACTATCCATCATTCTATTTTTCTTCATTTCTTTTCTCCAATACTTTTATCTAATTTAATAATACGAGATTTTCGGTTTTGTGTCGCAAACAAACTGATTTTCTCCTTATTTTCTTTTACAACATAGTATTTTAGTTAGTAAAATTCCTATCATATTTCTCCACCTCACCTTAACCCAAAAATTTCATGTTCGATTTGAATTGTTCAAGTTAGATTTTGACAAGGTTGTGGAAAGGTGATAGAAGAATCGACTATTTTAGCCCTGTTTCGCATCACAAATAGATTCCGGGTAGTTCAACGTAACTAAGTACGCGGGAGCCTTGTCGACCTTCTTAGTTGCTGTTTTGAATTCGATTTCGATTAAAGAGAGGTATAAGAGGGGTAGAGCCACTAGCGGAACGATTGAAAGAATAATTCATGGGGCATAGGCGGTGGTCTATTGGGTCACATAAATTTCTAGTGACAGTAGAGTTTCTTGCTTATAATGTTCTTCTCCGGGTGTCGCTGAAACCTCGTTGAAAACCCCCTAAGGTCAAGTACCAACCGAGTCGAGAGTCGGCTTAAGCGAGCAAATGTGATCACGCTCATTCCTCCTTGACGTCCTGCAATTATACATATATTTTTCGCTATCACGCCATCGTCATCCCGCACATTTCATCCATAGAAATCTAGCCATTAAGGAACGCAAAAAGTCAAACACAAACGTCTCGCTTCATCCTTTTCGAGATACGTATATTTTATCGCTTTTTAGTTAGATTTAATTTCTGCAATTTATTTTTTCAGTTTCTTCGATTGCATTAACTCATTGCACTTTTTTTTTTTTAAATTAAATATAGAATATTTGCATATTCTCTGAGTTCGACCCTGAGACTCACCAGTTAAAGAGATATTTTTATTTTTGACGAAGTTTTTTTGGAGTTACTATACGAACACGCACGACACTATTATCATTTTATACATATATCATTTTTTGTATCTTAAAAGATATTTTTAAATTTCCAAAAAATCTTCGATCAAGATTGGTATTTGGGACTACATCTTGAAATCTAATTTGTTGAACTTCTGTATCTTGAAACTTTTGTGGATTTTGTGGATTTGTGGTGTAGTATTAGTGATAAATAATAGGCGTTTGATTTGTGACTTATGTTCGATTTTGGGATATTTTACCTCGACTATGTTGTTTTTGTGTTCAGAATTGCATGCGAACTCACTATATTGCAATTAAAGATTAAAGGTGCTTTATGCGATGACACTCTTTTCTTACTTATTGATTGTGATCGGATAGGCATTATTGGCTTTATCAATCGTCGACATCGCATCACTCATTTTGGAATAACTAGGCTGTAATTTGTAGGGATGACATTTGGGGTCGGGTCCAAATATTCGGCGGGTCTAGGGTCCAGTCTGGGTCCGGATAAAAAAAAAAATTAAATTAAGGGTCGGGTCGGGTCTAGGGTCTGAGCATGGACCTGACCCGGACCCGAACCCGACCCGCCATGTAATTAAAAAAAAAAAAAAAAACTGAATTATATTGTATTTCTCATCACAAAACCTAGCAGCAGCACCCCCCCTCTTTTATTCTCACGCAGCCCCTCTTCGAATTTATTTTCACGCAGGCAGGACACCATCACGGCAAGTTCTTGGTCGATTTTTTTCCTTTTCTTTGTCTAATCCATTCTCCAACTCAATTTTCCATCATTAAGCACTGTTGTTTTTTGTATAAGGGTAAGTTATTGTGTAATTTTACTTATTTATTTGTTAAGTTATGAAGCTGAGATCAAAGTTAATTAAGTTCGTCAAAATTGTTATGATTTGTTGATTAATTACCAATCTAGAGCCACGTCTTCTACGGATATGAGCTCGGTGGTTGATGTTGGTATGTTGGATTTTGGGGATGCGATGACTCGCAATGTTGTTTCTGGTGATGCATTTGATCTAGATCCATTGAAGAAATACGATCAATTTGTGGCAAGTATGAATGATTCTTCTAAGATTTCTACGATGTTGGAGTTGGATATTTTTTTGGAAGAAAGCTTTTTACCGAAGACACAAAATTTTGATATATTAGGTTGGTGGAAGACGAATGGAGTCAAGTACCCTTACTTACAGAAGATGGCAGATGATATTTTGGCTATTCCGGTTTCTATGGTTGCTTCCGAATCTACGTTCAATAATAGTGGAAAAATTATTAACCCCATCGTAGTAGATTTAATCCTTCTACTTTGGAAGCATTAGTATGTGCTCAACATTGGTTATGGAATAAAGCAAATTGTAAGTTAATTTTAATATATTTTTAATTAATATATTTATATTGTATTATATTGTAAAACTTATATTATTTGTTAATTTATTATTTTAGATGGCAATTTGACTTCTGGACGCTCAAAAGCATTTGACGATGAAGAAGAAGATGGCGATGAACAATGAAGATTGTTATTATTTTACATTGTGATTGATGACTTGTGTTAATATGTTTAAATTTTTTACGATGAATGCACAAAAGATTACATGTTTGGTTATTATAAATTATAATATGCAATATTTTTTTTTTTTTGGATTGAATTATTACTGTTGTTGTTGCTCATTGTTTATTGTTATTATTTTATAATTGTTTGAAAAAAAAGTAGATAATTATTTAGGCGGATCTAGGTACGAGTCCTGTTTATATTTAAAATTCTGAAACTATCGAATCTGTCGGGTCCAATCGGGTAGTTTCGGGTCGGATCCGGGTCTGAGCTGAATCTTGGGTCCATATATATTTCTTCGGGTTGGGTCTGCCATCCCTAGTAATTTGACCCTCTTTGCAATATCAATGATTCTTTTGTGCATAAATTGAATTTTTCATTCCCGTGTTTCAAATGTTCCATGCAATTTGGTATCAATCTTTTGATATGGTCACATTTTGATTGTTTTCTAATAGTCGATAGTTAGTGTTTTAGTGAAATATAATATTTAAAATATTTAAATATATATTCTAAATTTATTTAAATCATATATATTAAAATTACTAATAATATATTAAGTATATAAAAATATAATAAAATAATATCATAATTTAATATTATTAATTAATTAAACTTTTAGTTATTTGATTCGAGATGAAAGGAGTATTAAAAGTAAAAATAAATATTTATTTGATATTTTTAAATGAGAAAAATAATAAATACTATTTTAATTTAAAATAATTTATTTTTTTACAAAAATAAAAAATAAATAGAAACTTAAATTTTAAATAATAAAATTTAAATTTAAAGAATTATCTAATATAATATAAATAAATATTGATATAATATTTTAAATATTAAATTATTTTTTAATATAATATAAAAAATAAACTAAATATTTAATTTAATATTTTACATTGAAAAATTAGTAATATTATTATTTGAATTTATTTTGAGTTTGTTTGCTTAGTGAAATATTTTTAAAAAATATATTTTTTTATATAAAATATAAAAAGTTGTATAAGTAATATATAACAATAATGTGTGTGATGATATATTAATTTTTTTTAAAAATATATTTTTAAAAAATTGTTCACAAACTCTTTATTCTTCAAAGAATAATAAATAAATAAAATACAGACCCATCATATTTATCACAATGTTTAATTTATGAGTATGTTTTTTTAGTCGAGTTTTCTATATTTTTTGAAAAATATATATATATATTTATTTTTTCACAAAATATCTTATTAAACATTATTTTCATACCAAACTCAAACCAATTTTTTTTTCCAAACTTATAAAAAAAAAAAAAAAACCCTATGTCTTCATCTTATTGAGGAAAGTAAGACGAAAGACTTTTAGAAGTCATTTGTTTTGGCAATTTTATATAAAATATGATTAGATTAAAATTTTTATAATTGCACCTTATCTTTATTACTCCCACCATCCTATGTAATATGGGTCTATTACTGTAAATACAAAAATTTAGGTAAAATATAATTAATAAGCAATTAAGAAATGTATAATTAAAAATAATTATCATTTAATAAAAATAATTATAGATTAAAATTAAAATAACTAAATAGTTTAATTAAGATTAAAAAAAATTAACTTTTAAATTTTAAAATATGATTAAAGTATATAATTAATTTTCTAAAAAAAGAAAAGACAAATTATATGGGACGGACAAAAATAGAAAATATGGACAAATTATGTGAGTCGGATGGAGTATTATAATTGCTTTATTAAATTAAATTAATTATTTTTTATTTAATTTTTTTTAATAAATAAATATCTTTATTTATATTTAAAATTAGTTATTTAATTGATATTATAAAATATTATTTATATAAAAAATAATAAAATAATACTTACTTGCTAATTGTAGTCTAAATAAATTGTCATCTAAATAACTTTATTCCAAATAAATATCACTTTCATCCTAATTCAAAATATTTTTACCATTTTTTACGTGCATTTTAAAATATTCTTTTTTAATTTTAGAAAAAATAATTATAAGTTAATACCAAAATATCTTTAATTTTTATTTAAATTACAAATATACTATTACACCTAAAATTATTTTAAATAAAAATTTAAATGAAAAAAAATCAAAAAAATTTATTTAATAAAATATTATTATTTTTTTAATCTATTTGCAAAATTAAAATCCCTATTCAAAAGGGACAAAATGAGTAAAATCATAAGTATAATTTAGAACAGAGCTCGTATTATCTTATCTATTTGTCTCCTCCATACATGTCAATTTTTTTATTGAAAAGAATAGAGTTTTTTTTTTGTTTCATTTAACCGCATTAAGAATGCATGTAAAGTTATTTGTCTTTTCATTTCTCAAGAAAAAGGCAGAAGACGAAAGGTTATATATCTTTCTTCGAAGACAGCCTTATATTTAAACCACACATACACACACAGACACAATCACATCTGAAGCAGATTCAAACATGGCGGAAGAAGAAGAAAAGGAGATGAAGGAGGAGGCAAGAGTGGTGTGCTGCATAGGCGACATCCATGGCTACATCACCAAGCTCCAAAACCTCTGGTCCAATCTCGAATCCGCCATAGGCCCATCTCTCTTCCACAAGGCCTTAGTAATTTTCCTGGGGGATTATTGCGACAGAGGGCCCCACACCAACCAAGTCCTCGATTTCCTCATTTCCCTGCCCTCCAAATACCCTAATCAGTCCCACGTCTTCCTCTGCGGCAACCACGACTTCGCCTTCGCCGCATTTCTCGGGATTCTTCCGACCCCGCCGGACGGCTCGCATTTCCGGCAGACATGGACGGAGTTCCAGATGAACGAGGCGAGAGAAGGATGGTACAGAGGAGAAGGCTATCAGAATATGCACTTGCAGGTACGTACTTTCAAATTCTTAAAAAATTTGATAGATTCGAATTCGATTCGATTCGACTATTAATCAAATGCTATATGAAAATTTTAATATTAAATACGATTCGCATATTTGCAGGGTAGGAGGTGGGCGGGGAAGATGAGTGGGTTCAATCACGCCAAGGGTACTGAATACAAGGGCTCCATTTACGATGCCGGTCCTACATTTCAATCCTATGGAGTGCCCCATGCCTCTCCTGGTATATATATATTGTCAATTTTGTGTTTTCTAGGAACTGTTTTTGTTCGAAAAGTATGAACGAATTCGAATCATAGGCCTGTTATGTTGATGGCATCGTATTGGTTAGAAATAATTATTGTGAACTTTTTAATATAACCAAACATCTATTAATAAAAGAAATAAAAAAAGATAATATTAATTTGTTTTTGTCCTCCAATCATAGTTAAGAAATTTTGGACTAAAAGAGTATTCGAAGAATTTAATGCCAACAAAAGGATGTTTTATGCAATAATCGAAACACTGAATGTTTTGTTAATTTTCACAAAAAAATATAGCGGGTGCGATATAATTTAATCTTTTATTTACCCATTGTCTGTTGCTTTGATTCTTGGAGTTTGTGGTCATGTTGATGCAGATTCATTTTGGCGTGTTTGTGAGAATTGGGATTTCTTGTTTGATGTGTTCTTTTTCTTGGTTTGAATTTTTAGAGGCCAAAAAATAGTTATGTGTGAGTGATTTTTAGGTGTTTATTAATGTTTTGTTTTTTTCTTTAATTTGAACAAAGAATATGAAAAGAAATTCAAAAAGACAAAGGCGAAGTACCAGATGAATTCATGCTAGTGTTTGATGATTATAGGGACTATTGATAGGACGACTGCCATTCCATTTTGGTGCTCGTGGGTCGTGGCAATGGCAATTGGAGTGGATATATTACTATAATATTTTTTTAGAGTCGTAGACTAGTGTAATGATGACAAAGAAAATTATTTATGAAATTTTAAGTCTGATTAACTTTTATGAACGATTTTTCTAAATAGTCGAAATCCAATTTTTTTGCTAATATAATTTTCCTGGAATTATAAATAGTAGTTTGATGTGATATTTTGTAAGATAATAATATATTTTTGCGAGAAACTATGCGGGCTGGATACTAAAAAATTTGGTTTGGAAACGTCTTACACATTTTGTTATGTTTAGCCTCATACTTTATGTTAGTTAGGATGGTAATATTGAGATGAATTTATAGAATTTTTGTATATTGTAATTTTGAACATATTCTAAACTTAATTTGTAAGTTCTCATTATTTTGTATGCAATTGCGCTTCGAAATTCACAACTATTTGATGTATACTTTCATAAATGATCTTATTGTCATTTTTCACAGATTTGAGGAAAGCTGTTCCGGATGAGCATAAGAAGTTTCTTTCAAATTTGGTTTGGGTACATGAAGAGGTATATATATATATACCATTTTTCTTGTCTTATTTTTAAAGAGTTAAAAAATTCTTCTTGTACATTGTTTGCGTTAAGACATCATTGGTGTTTGTGATCAGGGCTTTTTTGATAGACATATTGGTTTGTGCTCTCTCTGCATTTTTTCTTACTATATAGCCGCAACTATAGTATATAATCTCACAAAATATTTCAAGAAGTTTTTTAAATTTTTTCGAATTGGTAGGATGATGTCTACATGGAAACCAAAGACGGGTTAAAAAAATGTAAATTGATAGCTGTCCATGCCGGGTTAGAGATGAGCAGGAGCGTTGACGAGCAGATGAACTATCTTAAAGCCAAGAACACTAAAATCCCCAAGGTTGAATCACTTAGCGGACGAAGAAATGTCTGGGACATACCGAAGGTCATATGCTTGTCCGTAACTAGAAATTTCAATTACATTAGAAGTAATTGTCTCAATTTTAGCCTTATCAGTTCTCAATTCTTGCTTTTGATTTCACAACTTACTATAAATTTTTAGATTATCTAGACGTTGCAGGGATTTTTTATTTTTTATTTTTTTTCCACTATGTTTCTGTGTTTCTTTAGCAATTTGAATGTTTCTGATCCCATTAGGACTAGTCTCAATTTTAAGTCTATTTGTTCTCAATTCTTACCTTTGATTTCTCAACTTACTATAAATTTTTTGATTCATCTAAAATGTCTACTGATATTTCTTTTACTACTTATCTTTTAGCATTTTGTATCTCTTTGATCCTATTAGAACTACTTGTCTCTATTCTAGTTGTAGCCGTAGTCAGATTCTTACAGTTGAATACACAATTTACTACAATTTTTTTTAGCAATTTGTGTATCTTCTATCCCATTAAAATTACTTGTCTTAATTTTAGATCTATTAGTTCTAAGTTCTTGTTCCTTTTTTTTTTTTTTAAAAAAAATTCATAACTTGCTATGATGTTTTTCATTGTATCTAAACAATCATTTGTGTGAATTTTATTCTCTGCTATGTTCTTATGTTTGTTTCTTTCTTCGATAGGAGTTGTCTAAAACACCAACGATTGTTGTGAGCGGTCACCATGGCAAGTTGTATGTTGGAGACTTCCGATTGATAATAGATGAGGGCGGGGGCTTCCCGAACAATCCAGTGGCTGCAATTGTGCTTCCATCGAGGCAACTGGTGCGCGACACTGATCAAATTGACAAATAGTTTGTGGTCGAGCTCAAACCTTTTGTATTTTGTTGTTTTTTTTGTTCTAATGGTGTTTTTGGAGTGATTGTTTTTGCAAATGCTTTTGTAACAATTGAAAGGTCCGAATGTGTCAAATGAAGATTATAAAGCTTCACTGATCACAGTGAATTGGAATTTAGGCGGGTTACAATGAATTACGATGGCTGAATTTTCTGAAGAAAGATGCACAATTGGAATAATCTGGTGGTATGGAATATTATTGTTTCATCTTTTTATGATTTCTTTGTTTTGCTTTTGTGTTCTTATGTTGTGTTTAAATTAGGAAAGCATGAAATTACATTTCTTGGAAATGTGTAGTGTATTCAGTGCTCTCTTGCAGGAAGGGTTTTTTCTGCAAAGTCTCAAGAGTCTTGATCCAAATCCTCCATACCAACAACATCAGAGAAGCTCCCTGTTCCAGGGGTGGAGGATGGATCATCACTTCCAGCAGAGGGATTGGAGGTTCCTCAGATAGTTCTGATGATTCACAGGCATGTTTTAAATAACAAAACTCATACCCCACCCCATGAAAATTGGATCCAGGCCAAGTAAATTAGTGATCAAAAGAAACTTCAAAATGATTAGGAGACAATGTTTAGGGTGTGCTTACTTGAGGTTTTGACTTTAGGGGATTATTTTTTAATGTTGAATTATTTTGAATGGATAATAGAGGTTAGATGTGATGTTCTCAATAGAAGCCAAACTTTGAACTTCACTAATTGTGTATGTTGTATGTCCTGTAAGTTAGCTCTAATATCATATTGGGGATTAATTTCTATTTTGGATTAATTTTGGAATGGAAATAGGTACCGATTGTGATGGTTTGAATGGAAAGTAGTGTTAGATGTGGATGAGGAATGATAATTTTAATAGAAGCTAAACTTTGAACTTACTAGTTGTGTGTATGTCTGTCATATATTGGCAAAATAATCCTGCAAGTTAGCTCTAATATCATATGAGTCCTTCATATTAGAAGTGTTTGATTTTAGAGTCACCTGCTTCATTAGTTTTTCTTTCCAAGTGTAGATATTTTGGTGTATATGTGATGGTTAAATTGTTTGAGCATGATACTTAGATTTAGCAATTCCAGGACATGTATCCCAGTTTCAATCTTAGCTTCATTTAAAGATACTGTAACATGAACTTAGCAGATGGTGTTACTCAAAAACATAAAAATAATTTGGCTAGTTACTTAATAATATTGAATGATCATGAAAAAGTAGTGTACTTAACCGATCAAATTCGGTTCATACACAAATACTGCATATTTGATATTTGTTCGATTCAGTTTGATTTTGATTTTGATATTTTTTTTCGGTTCGGTTAACCGAACTGAATATATTTATATTATGATATTTTAAATTTTATATTAATAATTATACTTGGTTTCGGTTCGGATAGTTGAAATATTTGCAAATATTTTTCATTTTATTAAAATTTTAATTATTACAAATATTTTTGGTTAAACAGAATTTTTTGGTTCGAATATGGAAATATTTGCAAATATTACAAATATTTTCGGTTAAACATTATTAAGTACAAATATATGGTTTTTCGGTTACTCAAAAACATTATTTGCAAATATTACAAATATTTTCGGTTAAATAGAAATTTTTTATTCGAATATGGTTTTCGATTTCGGGTATTTGTTTGATTTGGTTCGATTATCAAATATATCTGTATATTTGCAAATAACCGAACCAACCGTGCTCACCCCTATCCTTTAGCACGTATAAATTATTAAATGCTTAGGAGTTAATAATTGGCAAAACAGAGTAATTTCCTATGTGTTTTTTTGGTGTTGATATTGAAGTATGTTGGCTTGCGTTTGAATTGTTTATTAATACATTAAGGGTGTGTTTGTTTGAGGGTTTAGATTTTGAATTGAGATTTAAATAGGAAAAATTTTGAATTTGAATAGTTGTATGATGTGATATAAATAGGTGTTGATGTGATGTTTTGAAGGTAAAATTGATTTTTAATATAATATAAAAAATGAAAAATAGGTGTTTGATTTAATATTTTTGGAGGAAAAAAATAGGATGAATAGTGGAAATCCAAACAAATCCCTCGAACAAACACACAGTAATCTTTGTCAATTAACTGTACAGCATATCGTTTTGTGATCAAAGGAATTTCATCTGAAGCTACTTATGCTAATCCGATCCAGGGAGATGCAGATGCCGTGGAAAGCAAGAACTGCAGTGGTCGTCTATGCCTGCAACAGAGAAGGTAATTTATTTATTTATATATATATATATATATATATCAAGTCTGTATTTTCTGATGACGTCTTCTTATTCTTCTATGTGTTAATTTCTTTAGATTCATTTATGTGCTTAAATTTAGTCTATCTCCAACTCTCCACCCCATTTTTTAGTTGCTACAATAATAATAATAAAAAAAAGCAGTTGATCTAGTAATTTTACTCCCAACTAAAAATTTCAATTTTTATTCCAAAAAGTATATTTTCTATATATTTCTCTTTTATATTATTTTATATAATTTTTCATATTTATAAATTATACCCCCACTTTAATTTATTTTTACATTAGATCCATAGGCATGTAATTTATATTTTATTTAAAAATTACATATATAAAAATCAATATTTATAATTAATAACTATTACAAATAAATAATTTTAAATAAATAATTAATAGCTATCAAGACAAAAATGATATAATAATTAAACAAAGATAACATAATATTATTATTTTATAACAATTTATTACAAAAATATACATTACAATAATAGTTCAAATAAAATACGACATATTTTTTCAGTGGAGTTACTATATTGCTCTCATATATGCTTTATTAAATCATTACGGAGTGCAAAATGAGCATCTTTGTCTCTAATTTGTCTATGTCGGGCAAGAAATTGTTGAAGTTGGATGGTTTCATCGGTTGTCATTTCCACGGATGGAGGTGGTGTTTCTAAAACTTCTCTGTTAGGTGCACTGAGATCTTGTTCATCTTCTATTATCATATTATGCATAATAATGCAAGCAATGATAATATCATGCAGAACATTTTTTTGCCAAAATCGAACAGCTCCAGCAATTATATGCCAACGTGATTGTAGAACTCCGAAAGCACGTTCAACATCTTTTCTACAGGACTCTTGTTTCTGTGCAAAAAGTCTTTTTTTGGACTTCGTAGATCATGAATAGTTTGCACAATAGTATCCTACTTAGGATAAATACCATCAACTAAATATTTTTTCCCTTGAAGGGTACAATGTGCAGAGGAGCAATACCTAGAGCAAGATTTGAAAACAAGTGCGAAGATTTTAAAACATGAATGTCATTTGGAACCTGGCATGCCAAAATATGCATGTCAAATCCAAGTTCATAATCAGTCACAATTTCAAGAATAATAGTTGGTGATCCTCTACGACCTGCATATTAACTTGCGAAAGCCGTAGCGCGATTTTTCCACTTTCAATGCATGCGATCTAAATTGTCTAATATACCTAAAAAATCACGAGATTCTCCAATATGAAGCAACCTTGCAATATCATTAGCATTAAGATGTGAAAAATATTCAGTTGAAAAAATTTCAACAACGGCACGACAAAATATCTTAACATTTTCAATTTTTGTTGATTCACCAATTTTAATGTACTTATCAGTTGAATCTGTAGGTACACCATATGCTAACACCCGAAAAACAGCAGTTACTTTTTGTAAGGTTGACTAGCCAAGTCTACCAAGACCATCTCTCCGTTGTTGAAATACGGATCATGATCTTTAACCGCATCAACAATACAAAGAAACAGACTTCGAGACATTCGAAATCATCGACAAAACATTTGTTCATTATATAAAGGATTATTTGAAAAATAATCATTATATAAATTACGTTCTGAACTTTCACGATCACGATTAATTACTCGATGACCTGGGATAGAGCCTCGATGGGTTGATTGAGATGGATTGAGTAACTGTTCCAAATAAGCATTGTTTTGCATCAATATGGAGATTGCTGCTTCATACTCTTGAAAGGATTCTATGAAAATTCTACTCACTTCTTCATCATTTGACGATGAAGAGATACTCATGCTGAAGAAATAATATTGTTGTGATAAGTGTATAAGTTTGATGAATAAACCTTCGTTGAATGTCCACATATTCATATAATAGAAATTTTAGATAAAATATAAATATATGAAAAATATTTGGATAATATAGATATCCATCCAACGGATAAAATGAAGATGAAATCCAAATGAACGATCATGATTGCTTGGATATGGATAAATTGATTTTATAATTTATAATATATAATAATTGATTGGATAATATAGATACCCAATCCAACGGATAAAATGAAGATGAAATCCAAACGAATGTCCATGATTGCTCGGACATGGATAAATGTATTTTTATACTCCCTTCGTCCCATATAATATGGGTGTATTACTGTAGACACGAGAATTTAGGTAAAATATAATTAGTAAATAATTAAGAAGTGTATTAGTAAAAATAATTATTATTTAGTAAAAATAATTATAGATTAAGATTAAAATAAGTAAATAGTTTAATTAAAATTAAAAAAATTATAAAATTTAAAATGCGATTAAAGTGCATTATTATATTTCCAAAAATAGAAATGACAAGTTATGTGAGACAGACGAAAATAGAAAATAGGGACAAATTATGTGGGACGGAGGGAGTAATTTATAATATATAATAATTGATTGGATAATATAGATATCCAAAATCCAACGAATGAAATGAAGATGAAATCCAAATGAACGCTCATGATTGCTTTGACGTAGATAAATGAATTTTTATAATTTATAATATATAATAATTGATTGGATAATATAGATATCTAATCCAACGGATGAAATGTAAATAAAATCCAAACGAACGCTCATGATTACTGTGACATGGATAAATGAATTTTTATAATTTATAATATATAATAATTGATTGAATAATATAGATATCCAATTCAACGGATGAAATCCAAATGAACGGTTCAGATTGCTTTTGATATAAATGAGTAGGTTGTTATAATATGTATATATATAGTCAAATATAATATAAATAATTGAGATTGGTCAAAAAAGTGTTTTGATCTAATGTCTAGGGTGTTGTGAAATCTAAATGAACGTTTGAAATTAAATTTCATAATGGATAAGATTTGATATCTATAAAAAATTTGTCTATAAATATATCTTTCTACTATTTGAATTATTGCACCAAAATCACTAACTTCTCATTCTAATATAACAAAAGTTTATCAAAATTTCTTCTCGAAATGTCTATCCGAGGTGGTGGTTATAGTCATGATGAAGATGTGTTGCTATGCCTTATTTAGATATCTTGCAAAATCCAATTAGCGGAAGGCAGCAATCCAGGGATCAATTTTGGAATCGAATCACTGATGCATACAAAGAAACTAAAAATCCTGATTGGGAGATACGTAGTGCAAGGTCTGTACAAAATCGGATCCAAGCCATGAAGAAAGCTGTTCGAAAGTTACTTGCTTGTATCAAGAAAGTAAAAATTTTAAAACCCAGTGGAGCTTCAGAGATGGATATTGTAAGTTATTTCTTAAATTTATTGTTAATATATATAGCTTGAAAGTTCTATTTGTAATTTTAAAATATTGTTTGCAGTTAAATCAAACTAAGGAGATACTAATGAAGGAAGATGCAAGCTTTAGAAAAGTTTTTAAATTTGATCATGTTTGGAATTTGTTAAAATATTTTGAAAAATTTAATGATCACAATGAAGCTAGAAACCCATATAAAATACCTTGAAAAAATAATTTCACTCATGTATCATCATCGTCGGATAACACTGCTTTTAAATCTCTTGGAAATTCATCATTTTCTGTTAAATTAGACGATGATGAGAGTGAATTAAATTTAAATTATAACGTTGGTGGGTCTTCATATGAGCGCGCCCATGGGGGTGAAAAAAGCAAAACAGCAAAAGAAAAATAAAGATAAAGAAAATGCTCATGTTAGTGAAGTTAAAGAGCAAAATTCAATGGTTTTGGAAATACTACAAAAATCAAATTTGCACAGGCAAGAATTTTTGCAACTGGAACGAGAAAAATTAGCATTTAAGAGAATGGCACGCGAGGAAAAAATTATGAATATGGACTCGAATGCTATTTCTGATCCTGCTCAGCGTAGTTACTACCAGCTCAAGAAAGATGAAATTTTACATAAAAGAACAATGGAATTTCAGAAATCAAATCCACAATCTTCTTCGAATATATTTTCTCAATATTTTAGTGATATTGGTGGAGATAGAAATGTCGATATTCCTCCGTATTAGATTAGTGTATTTTAATATTTTATGCAATTTTATTTTATCAATGTAATTTTATTTTATTTGTATGCAATTTGTTTTATGTAATTTAAATTCTATGAATGTAATATTTTATTTATATTTTGATCGCCGAATAAGTCATAACGATCTAAATTAGAAGGAAGAAATAAGAATTAGATTATTGTGAAAATGTTATTACATTACTTTTAACTATTTATTATAATTAAAATACTATTATTTCTTAAATATCACGCCAAAAGTAAATGTTTACTTTCAATGTGAACGGAGGAAGTAATTTTTTATTTTTGTTAAATACGCATGCATTTTCGGCAATGGGAGACCAAATATGCGGAACATTTTCACTTACAGGATTATTTTAAGACTATTTTATGAAAAATAATTTACCTAATTTTCTATGTATTTATTGAAAATTTAAGATTAAATATGGTTTGTTCCAATCTTATTTTTTGTGTAGTAGTATATGCTTATTTGTCTAGTCATACAGTTAGCTACTTTATTATCAATCCCTCCATGCCGGAATTAAGTATCTATTTGCTTTTTGCATGTAGTTTTAGAAATATTAGTATTATATTGAGATATAGTAGAAATGACTAATATAACCTTTTTAGTATGTGTGATATAAAGGTAATGACATTTGTGTAATATATTGTAAATTGTAAGGGTATTTGTAATGTTAGGTAGATAGTACAGTTACTAAAAAAGGAAATGAATACTTTGTTATGGGACGGATTAAAATAAAGAAAATGAATACTTTGTTATGGGACGGAGAGAATATTATTTATTAGGTTGTGGTTGACTATAAACTATTTATTGGGCCTAAAATTTATTGGGTTATAGTTGGCTAAAAACTATTTATTCAATTGGATTGTGATTGACTAAAACCTATCCATTGAGTCAAACTTGGTTAAATTTATTTTTTAAAATATTAATAGTAGTTGATATAATATTTTAAAAATATAAAATAATTAGTATGAAAGAAAAAATAATAATAATAATGACAAAGAGCTCCAATAATCCAATTAATTCAAAAAATAAAATTAAAGACACAAAACTAAACTATTTGGTTTTGACTCCAACCAAAATCAACACCACTTATACAAATCATAATAAATAAATCATTTTTCTTTACAAATATTATATCAAAATATCCAAAATATTATTTAAATTGAAATTTAAATTAAAAAATTCAATTTCAAATTAAACTAAATTAACCCTTAATCCTTTTTTTAAGTTTTAAATTTAGTTAAATAATAATTTAGATATAATGTATATATATAAACAATAACAATACCACCTATGATGTAATAATAATAATAATAAATACCCTATCGTGACAATAATTTGGGGACCCACCCAATTGATGGGTAAATTATATAACACTTCATTGTCTTTTAGTAAAAATGCACAAATTATCTTATATTTTATTTATTGCATGAAACTCCCTTGTGTTAATGTAAAATTTGCATAAAACACATTCATTGTCCAAAATTGATGTTCGGTTCTAAATAAAGACCTAAACTATGCAAATTTTATATAAATAAAAAATATAAATATGTTAAATAATTTTTTCGAATAAATAAATAATTAATTAATTGATCAATAATTTATTTATTTATTTTATTCAAAAAAATTATTTAAGATATTTACATTTTTTATTTTTATAAAACTTGTATAATTTATGTCTTTATTTAGAACCGAACTTCAATTTTGAACAATTGGGGTGTTTCGTGCAAATTTTACATTAATACAAGAAGATTTTATGCAATAAATAAAATACAGGATATTTTGTATATTTTTCCTAAAACACACGGGAGTGTTATATAATTTACCCCCGGATTGATTCAAAGAGCCCCATCATACTATTATTAGCCCATCCTCTCTAATGATCCTTATAAACTTGCCCATATATACATATGTATATATGCATATATATTGCTAAAAAATTCCCTCGGGCCTTCCGGTGTAATTATGCATATTTTTTTTTGTGGTAAGCAAATTTCTATATAATTTCTTTTATATTATATTTTAATATAATAATTAATATTTAAATATTAACATAAAAAAAAAATGTGAAATTTATTAAGTGGACAAAGGGAGTGTATATGTAGAACAAAATATTCTTTCATGACATAAAAACCTATCGCCTTATTCTCGAATACATTTTGAGTAAACCTCCAGTCGAATCTAAAAAAAAAAAATTATATATTTTCTTATGACGTAGAAATCTGTAGCCAGTACTCTGGTTAAATACCCAGCTGAACGTAATAGCCTACAATCTAAGTCCAGTAAAACAAGTTACACTAGCGAACTTCCACGCTGAACCTTAAAAAAAATAAAAATAAAAATGTATATTTATTTTTTCTACGACGAAATTATATTATATTTTGTAAGTTTTGTTTTATATTTTGTCTTAAAATATTGAATTGTATGTAATTTTAAATTAAAAAATAAATAAATAATGATTCTTATGTTATTTAAATTTATTAAATTTTTATTTTTAGATTTTTTATAAAATATAAAAAAAAATTCATTTTTTATTCATTTTTGTTTTTTTTAAAAAAAGCATTATTCTAAAAGACAAAAAATAATAATTATAGTCCATTTTAATTAAAATTTATATCAAATTAAATTACCGATGAAGTATATTCTTATAAGAAATTATACTAATTGTATAATATAAAAAGTGATAATTATAACCTTAAAAAAAAAAAATAATAATAATAATAATAAAGCGACTGCCCCAAAAATGGTGACAATGAGTAGATATAAAATTATTAAGTGTCAATTATGAACCTACTTAGGTGCGATTTGGTAGTTAACCTAAATATCTCCGCCACCTTTTCTCTAATTATATATTTAACCCATAATCATTTCCTATTATTAAAATTTTTATAATTATTTTTTCAGTCATTGAAACATATGACCAAATATTTAAATACAAATATTGATAAAAATATATAGTAATAACTACTAAGATTTTGTCTTTTTATAATAAAAAACATACCAAAAAACAAATATATACTCTGTTCATTCACCAAAATTATGTAATTCGTTAATCTTATACACTTATAATTTTATTACTCACATTTTAAAAAATAATAACAAATTTTCCATTATATATTACCTATTTACTTCACTATTTTTATATTGTCTAATTAATAAATGTTTTTATAATAATTTTATGGGTAAATTATATAACACCCCCTTCTATTTTAGTAAAAATGCACAAAACACCATGTGTTTTATTTATTGCGTAAAACTCTCTTGTGTTAATGTAAAGTTTGCACGAAACACCATTCTTGTCCAAAACTGATATTTAGTTTTAAATAAATGCATAAATTACGCAAGTTTTATAAATATTTTTTTTGCATTAAATAAATAAACAAATAATTTATTAATCCTTTATTTTATAGTTTTTGTAGACAAATTATTTTCTGATTTTTATAAAAATTATAAATGATTGATCAATTATTTATTTATTTATTTTATTCAAACGCTTTTTATTTGTATAAAACTTACGTAATTTAGATATTTATTTCAAATCAAACATCAATTTTAAACAAGGAGGGTGTTTGATGCAAACTTTCCATTAATACAAGGGGTTTTACGCAATAAATAAAACACAGAGTATTTTGTGCATTTTTAGTAAAACACAAGGATGTGTTATATAATTTACCCTATTTTTAACTACTCTACTTTATTATTATAGTATAATTATTTCTAATTTATGTGTTAAACCAAACTTATATAATTTTTTCCAATAAATAGAATATAATTTTTTACTAAAACTTTTTTTTAAAAAAATAGTGTAAGTGATTTATTAATATGTGTTTTCTTGTTATCATGTAGATATCTATTAAGAGAAGTGAAAATTGAGAAATACACGTGTGTTTACTTATAACATTTTTTTTTCATTTTTCTATTATTTAATTTTCATTATTATTTTATAAAATTATACTAGTTAACTTATTTGGGTCATGTTATAAATGCTCTGGCTAAATATATTGATGAATCGTTTTTGTGGTTTTTTTCAATTTTTTTTAGTAAGCATGAGTTTTCTCCAAAAATATTAAATTAAATTGCATAAAATTCACCTTTGGTTTCACGAAATTGCGCCAAACTTTTTATACTTCTAAAATTACGTCAAATTCCATCGTGGTTTCATAAACTCTGTGTCTAACCCTCTTGGCGGTCCTTATTTAACGGCATTTGACATAAATGCGCTCAAACTGCGAATAAATTTTATAATCTCAATTTCTAAACTCCTAAAATTACAAATATATTTATTTTTCTTATATTTAGCATACAAAATAGTAAAAATAAACTCTTAAAACCTGAGAAAAATAACTATTTTTAAGTATATTTACTATTTTTTTAGTCCGAATATAAGAAAAATGAATATATTTGTAATTTCAGGGTTTAGAAATTAAGATTCTAATATTTATTCGTAATTTGAGCGCATTTAGGTAAAATACCATTAAATAAGAACGGTCGAGAGGTTAGACACAGAGTTTATGAAACCACGAAGGAATTTCACACAATTTTAAAAGTATTGGAGATTTGATGCAATTTAATGAAATTACATGTAAATTTTGTACAATTTAGCCAAAATATTATATTGAAATTATTACTAAAATAAATAACTAGAAAAAAAGGTAATCATCAACTAGACACACTAATAATATTTCTCCACTCCTTCAAACTCCTTTCTATATTTGCATTTTCCAAATAATAATAATAATAATAATTTTGGAATAATGTGAAGGTAGCTGAATCTTTTGACTTGCTTTGTTCTTTTTTTTTTTTTTTTTTTTCAATTAATTAACTAATTAAGGTATCAGATGAAAAGATAGTTCCAAAATGATAGTCATGTTGTTGTGTTTACTTGTGAGATTTTAATTTTGGTTTTTGATTTTGAATAATAAAATTTTGAATTGAAATAATTGTTTGATGTGATATAAATATGTGTTGATGTGATGTTTTGA